AGATACCTATAAATTTTTATTACTAAAGAGTAAGACCATGAAGTCTGATCAAATTTTTTTTTAACAACAATGATATATAAAAACATTACCAAACCCAAGAAATGAATTTTTCCGTTACCATTCTTTGCGTGATCAAATGATTTGGCAATGTTCTCGATGTTGATAAATTCCTTGTTTTTGACAGCTGAGTCAATTCTGACAATATCCTTTTATCAATAAATAATAATAAAGTTTAATTAAATAGATCATAATAAATAATTGTTTGATAACTCAAATTAAATCATTACCTGAAAAACCACGCGACCAGCGCCAATATTCAAATGTCCAACTTCAGAATTACCCATTAAACCATCCGGCAACCCGACTGACAATCCGTGTGCCTTCAATGTAGTGTATGGATATTCTTTGGCCAATTTATCCATCCATGGTGTGTCAGCTGCATGAATAGCATCCCCATTAATATGGTCGGCATCGGCTATACCCCATCCATCAATACAAATAAGACAGGCTTTTGTTTTCAGTTGTGCAACAGCCATGTTCAGTTAGTGAAGTATATTGGAAAACAGGTCAAGTACTGGGATTTGATGGCTATTTTATAGATTTTGTGGTTCTTTATTTAGTTAGATAGTCTGTATATTCGTAAGAAAAATCATACGATAAATAGTAAATGAAAATTCCAATCTCTAGATATTTGACATAAAGTTGACGTACAGGAATGTGATGTGTCACCCAAAATGATTTACCATCAACGGAGAGATTTAAAATGACTAACAGTAACGATAAATACATTTAAAAATGCGAAACATTGTAATATTCGTGAGTAGTCCCCGTTATTTAGAATTTCAGCTTACATAAGCCACGCACAAGTAAAATGTCTACAATTTCTTTTTATAGGCAGGCTCTTCACACCCGAGGCTCGCTGAGCAAATTGCCTCACGCCTAGGCGAACGGCTCGGGAGGGTAGTGCTCTCCAAATTCTCAAACAAAGAAACAAATGTCGAGATACATGAAAGTGTACGAGAGAAAGACGTTTACATTGTGCAGTCTGGGTGCGGTCATGTAAACGACAATTTGATGGAACTCTTGATTATGATTTCAGCGTGTAAAACCGCGTCTGCTGCACGAGTGACTGCTGTCATACCCTGTTTTCCGTATGCGCGCCAACCGGACGCACCTTATAAGAGAAATGGGGCACCTTTATCGCGGATTCCAAAGAATGCTTTTATTGGTTATACCTTTGACTTTACACCGGGGAATTCCATGCCGTCTTCTCCTTCTGTGGAATTTAAGGACCCATTTGCTGCAGCTCTTTCTCGAATTGAAGAAGAGAATAATTCATCATCGTCAACAACCGATATTAATAATTTTAATCATCTACCAATAGCTAGACCTTCGTCTTCTCTTAGTCTTAGTGGTACTCAAACCCCAATAATGGGAGGCCGTCATCTTGGTGGATATAAGCATTGGATTGCTCGATCTGGAACACTTGTTGCGAATTTATTAACGTGTGCGGGTACGTAGTCAGTAAAATTCGTAGATGACATTAATTATATATTCAATGAATAAAATTTAATATCTTTGTTATAATGATAATAGGCGCTGATCATATAATGACAATGGACTTACATGATCCTCAATTCCAAGGATTTTTCGATATTCCTGTAGATAATTTGTATGGACAACCTTTGATGGTGAAATATATTAGAGAGAATATTCCTAATTGGGAACAAGCTGTAGTGGTATCTCCGGATGCGGGAGGTGCAAAAAGGTCAGACTTTCGTTTACTCTATAATGAGCTTACAATTGATGCGACACTCTCTAATCGTCATTCGCATTTAAAAAAACTTTAGAGCAACCGCTATAGCCGATATGCTGCAAATGGATTTTGCACTTATCCATAAAGAGCGTCGCTCTCAGCATCAACCACACAAAGCGGACATGATGCTCGTAGGTCATGTTAAAGACAAAGTCTGTATTCTAATTGACGACATAGCAGACACGTCGTTCACGATCACTAAAGCTGCAAAAGTACTTGTTGATAACGGGGCGCAAAAGGTCTATGCTATTATCACACACGCGATTATGAGTGGCGATGCGATACAACGAATTCAGTCCAGTGTGATAAATCAGGTCATTGTGAGCGATAGTATTCCGCAGGAGGAACATTTGCAGCAATGCCCAAAAATGCGGATGTTTAATGTTGCACCGATATTTGCTGAGGCAATTAGGAGAGTACATAACGGGGAGAGTGTTAGTGCACTGTTTAATGTCACAGATTTAATATAATCTATTATGTTGATACAAACAAACATTGGTTTTGCTAGTTTTTTCTCATATGGATAGATTAATATTGTATATACATATACTAAGTAATCACAATGTTTTAAAATCTTTGCTTTTTAATGTCAAAAGATATATTTAAGCAAACTTAAAGAATAAATCATATTAATTATTAGTACAGTCAGAGTCACACCCCTCTACACAGATATTATAAATTTGCTGTTCCCAAGGGTGTGATTATATGGGAGGAAGACTATACAATTTTTTTCTGAAAATTAAAACTATGCCATGATTTGTCTGTAAAGAGTATTGATTAGCTCCATCAAAACCTGTAATATCGAAGTCATTGTCAAATGAATTAGTGAACTTTTCTTTATATAACACGTGAATTATTTCTTTGTTGGCCAAACTTCAATAACAATGACCGAGTTCTTATTTAAAAAAAGTTGTGGCGACTTTTGGCTTATTATACGGATAAGTTTCTAAAAGATATTTGTAAATTTAATTCGAATAATAAGACCCAACGATAATAGTTAAAAAACAGCTGGTGCCAATTCTTTCTTAAACTATGGTTAAATTCGTTCCAATATGCGTCAACTTCAATAAGGTTAATTTTGAGCGAATTCATATAAAAAAAGCATGTTTGATAACTCCTTTTCTGTACTAATTCGATGATTGTAATCATTTGTCACACCAAACCAATTGTTTTTCTCCTCTCAACTAATTTCACATGCATGTTTCGAGCGGTATATTCTATTTGTTCCAAATCTTTTTAAATCTTCTTGAAAATCGAAAATCATGGCGTCCAACACCGGCAGGTGGCTTTGTACAAGTTCTTTCGCGTATTGATTTTTTTCGTATCCATCCCTATGCCTAAAAGCAAAAGTATGCGCATTGAAATGGCCTTTCTCAATTTTCGATAAATCCTCTTTCATCGACGAAATTTCGGTTTGCATTCCTTTAGAAAATTTTAAAGTTTGTAGCAAAAATCAACTATTCCTTTTTTCTGCGGTTTCCATAGGCGGATGAGATTATCAGAAATAGTTGCGCCGTTTTGTGAGACTTCGTCACTTTCTTAAATGTATCTGCGAGACCCAGCAAGATGATCCGCTGTTGAAACATCTCAAGATTACTTCTTTATAAAAACAATGTATTAATTAATTAAGATACCTTTTTTTTAATGTTCGCCCAATCAGCGAAAACCGATTCAGAGTTGTCTCATTTTTGGCCGTTATTAAATATATGATTAATCGAAATTCAATTTAACGTTATTCAATTTAACATTATTGTTTCAACTCACAATGCAATAACCAGCCCCAAAAATAATAATCAACGTGAGAGCTAGTAGCTTGACTTTAATATTTTCTCGGGCTCCAGAGATTTTGCACTATTAAATAATCTCACTATGACTAATTTTGCATACCATCAACGTTCTTATTGTTATCAGTTTCTCATATTTACTAAAGTTAATATCGATATTATCTGTGTAACTGGTAAATGACGATGTGACGAAAATTGACTCGAATTCATTTTTTTTTCCATGAATATCGAACCTGATCGTTATATTTTTGAATGGTTTTCTTGTGTCATTTTGCGAAGAAAACCCTAAATTTCACAATAAAAGTTAATTATAATTATCCCGTAGTTTTTACTCCCTTTATCATTTCACAAAGATACACAAGCATGAGCGCGCACGAAGAAAGCTTAAATCCCAATGTAAGACTGCCGATAAATTCCAAATGCTATCCAGCATTCTTTTATTAATCGATTCTTTGAATAGCAATATTTTGAAATTCGCTCGGAGAAGATACTCAAGCTTCGTGAGTCCAAAAATCCAAACCCTTATCCGCATAAATTTCATGTAGACATTTCCATCCCGGTTTTTATTCAAAAATATGGCAGTCTTCAACCCGGCGAGCACTTGACCGAAGTGGTCAATTTAGCCGGACGTATTCATAATAAACGAGCGTCTGGTGCAAAGTTGAGGTTCTATGATCTACATGGGGAAGGAGTTAAGATTCAGATTATGGCTCAAGCACAGTGAGAAAATGCCGTAAAATCTTTTTTTGATGGGTATTTGAATCGATTTATTAAAGTATAAATTATTAGGGATTCCGAACGAGATTTTGCTGAAGTACATGATCTTCTGCGTCGTGGAGATATTGTGGGTGTTCGTGGATGTCCAGGAAAATCCAAACGTGGCGAATTATCTATATTTCCCAAAGATCTCGTATTACTCTCCCCATGTTTACATATGCTACCGAAAGCCCATTATGGATTTAAAGATCAAGAATCGCGATATCGACAACGTTATCTCGACTTGATTATAAATAATAATGTTCGAGAGAAGTTTATTACGCGAGCCAAAATTGTAAATTATGTCAGGAAATTTTTGGATAATCTTGGATTTTTAGAGGTTAGCTTTTTTGTGTTGGTTGATTAGATATGTAGCAGTTCATAATTTTTGTTTTAAACTTGTGATAGGTTGAAACACCCATGATGAACATGATTGCTGGAGGCGCTACAGCCAAACCATTTGTGACTCATCATAATGATCTCAAACTTGATTTATTCATGCGAGTTGCACCTGAATTGTATCTCAAAATGCTTGTGGTAGGAGGATTAGATCGTGTCTATGAGATTGGACGACAATTTCGGAATGAATCAATTGATTTAACACATAATCCAGAATTCACGACGGTTGAATTTTATATGGCATACGCAGATATGTATGATTTAATGGATATTACAGAGAACATGATATCAACTATGGTCAAGCATATTACAGGTGGTTATAAAATAACATATCATCCTCATGGACCAGAAGGAGAAGCTTATGAAATCGATTTCACCCCACCTTTCCGAAGGATTAACATGATCGAGAGACTGGAGGAGAAACTTGGAGTAAAATTCCCACCACCCTCGGAACTTCATTCGGATGAAACTAATAAATTTTTAAAAGAACTTTGCGAGAAAAATCAAGTTGAATGCTCTCCGCCACGAACAAATGCTAGATTACTTGATAAAGTGAGTTATTAAAACTATTTTGTTTATTATATAATAATATAACATAATATTAATATCGTATGTAGCTTGTAGGCGACTTTATTGAAGTGGAATGCGTATCTCCGACATTTATTATCGGTCATCCTCAGATGATGTCTCCACTGGCAAAGAGTCATCGAGATATTAATGGTCTTTGCGAACGTTTTGAACTTTTTGTAGCTACAAAAGAAGTATGCAATGCGTATACTGAATTAAACGATCCGTTTGATCAACGAGAACGCTTCGAGGAGCAAGCACGGCAAAAAGCCCAAGGAGACGAGGAAGCGCAACTTATCGACGAAACTTTTTGCACAAGTTTAGAGTATGGACTACCACCTACGTGAGTTTGTTGTTTATTATTTAACATTAGCCTTAGCACAATTTTATGATTTCTGTCAAGATTATTTTGAGACTGAATTATTACTTATATCATTGTTGTTAAAAAAAAATTTGATCAGACTTCATGGTCTTACTCTTTAGTAATAAAAATTTATAGGTATCT